CGACTCGATGGCACTTAACAACAACAACAACAACATATATATATTCCACTAATATATAAGAGTTTGAAAGAGGATATTGGTAGGTGGGTACTTAGCTTTCCTGCAAATACAACTGTAAATATGGTGGAGCACACAACAGGCAAAATGATGAGCTTCTGGTGTTGGCAATGACCTTACTAAAGCCATCAGTCCTCAACAGAGAAGGTTCTGCTGCTCACCACCATCCACCAATCCCTTTCTGGTATCAATTTACTCCAGACAGGTAATCTCTGATGAACTATAGTGTTACCTCCCTGAGGATGCTGATTTGAATGTTTCCTTGAAAACATTCATTACAATGAAATTTCCTTTCCCCATAAGACATCACTCATCTCCAGTTGTAGCACCCAGCACATAGCAGATACCCAGAAAATATGTTTCAATCATACTAGATCACAAAAGACTAGACAATTAGTGCTTTAAAAATCTCTACAATGGGTCTTACGTCATTTTTAATAACCACTTTCTAGAAAGTTCTCACTAATGGTGTGCTCGGTTATGTTTTGAAAGGTAGTAATTTTGTATCTGTCATCAGTTTTCACAGTTTGGCGTCTTGCATACCCCCCACCCCTTTGGAAGTGAGAAATAAGAGGTAAGTGTGACAAAGGTCTACGTGTCTTGCATGTGCAATGTCACACAACAATCATGCAACAAATATTTCTTGAACTCCTATGTGCCAATACTAAGTACTGTCCTGCTACCACTGTGCCAATCTACTTCTTTGGGGTCTTCCTCTTTTTCTCTGACCCTACACTTTACTAACTATGATGTTCTTCTCCAGGAACTGAACCCTCCTGATAATGTGTCTCAATGTGAGAGATGAAGTCTGGCCATGCAGGCTTCTAAGGAGCATTCTGGCTGTACTTCTTCCAACACGTATCGGTTTGCTCTTTTGACAGTCCATGATATTTTTAATATTCTCCTCCAACACCATAACTCAAATGCATCCATTCTTTTACAGTCTTCTTTATTCATTGTACAACTTTCACATGCATATAAGGTTACTGATAATACCATGGCTTGGGTCAGGCTCACCATAGACCTCAAACTGACATCTTTGCTCTTCAAAACTTTCAAGAGGTCTTTTGCAGCAGATGTATTTAATGCAATACATTGTTTGCTTTCTTGAGTATTGATGGTTAATTCAAGCAAAATGAAGTCTTCGACAATTTTAATCTTTTTGGATTTTTGCTTTCTTTACATTTAGATGCAACCCATAGAGGGCTATGGTCTTTGATCTTTATCAGTAAGGATTTCAAGTCCTCTTTGCTTTTAGCAAACAAGGTTGTATAACCTGCATATTCCGGTTGTTAATGATTTTTCCTCCAACCCTGATCTTTTTTATATAGATATAGTTGTTATTGTTGTTGTTGTGTGCCATAGAATCGGAACCAACTCATAGTGACGTTTCCAAGGCTGTAAATCTTTACGGGAGCAGAAAGCTTCTTCTTTCTCCGGAGGAACAGCTGGTAGTTTCGAACTGCTGACCATGAAATTAGCAGCCCGATTCGTAATCTCAACGCTACCAGAGCTCCATATGGATATATAGATAGATAGATATGTTGTTAGGCGTCATCGAGTCGGATCCAACCCTGGGTTTCCAAAGAGCAGCAGGTGAGCTCTCTCTGTGTCTCTTTCTATCTCTCTCACACACACTGAACCGCAAGGTCGGTTTGAACTGAAAAGTCGGCAGTTCAAATCTAATAAGGGATCCTCTCAAACCCTATGTAGGGTCACTATCAGTCTAAACCAACTTGACAACATTTTTTTGTTGTTGTTAAAGTGCTGTCGAGTCCGTTCCCTGTATAGGGTTTCAGAAGGAGCTCTGGTAGCATAATGGTTACGAGTCTTGACTGCTAACCACAAGGTCAGCAGTTCGAATCTACCAGCGGTTCTGTGGGAGAATGATGAGGCTTTCTGCTTCCATAAAGATTTACAGACTTGGAAACCCTATGCAGGGTCACTATGAATAGGAACCGTGCAGCTGGTGAGCTTGAACCGCCTACCCTATAGTTCACATCTACCTAGCAGACCAGCGTATTAACCCTCAGCGCCACCCCAGGCCTCCGATACAATGGAATGAAATGCTAAAGGAAGTTGTGTGCAGTGTTAATTTTTTTACATAAGGCTGACCAGGAAAGTTTCTTGACTAAAACGATGTTTGTACAGGGACTCCCCACCCACCCCCCCAAAAAAGGGGGGGGAAAGGGGGAGTCGGTATAACGTCACAGAAAAGTATGAAAGATTAGAAATTTGGTTTTCTAGGTTTGCAATCCAGTTTGCCAGTTACACGTTGTAAGATCCTGGACAATTACTTTAACCTTTCTGAACTGTTATTAAGGATATGCTAAGGCCTCAGTGTCGCTATGGGTCGGTACCGATTCGATGGCACCTAACAACAAAGGTCTTCGTGAGAAATTGTCCACCAACCCATCTATCACAACACAAACGCTGTATCACTAGGAGTTCTAACGCGGGGCAGAGACTCTAGAAAACCTACTCTGGTAGGCGTCCCACCTCTCCTACCACCACCCCCTTTGTCCGAGAAGAAACCTATGATTGGCTCCGCTACGCATTCGTTCTACCATACCTGGCGTTCGGTCCAATCACGCCCAGCTTAGTGCTGATTCGGGTGAACGCCGAGTGGGCGTTGCCTGTAGCGTCACGGTGACGTGATACGTCACGGCAGGCGGAAGTCAAAGTCGCTGTATTGAAATTGGGCCGCTGTTTTGAAATTGGGTATTATGCGCTCCTCTGCTTGCTGAGGCCTTGCTGTACCTCGGTTCTGGGCTGACGGAGGTCCCTAGAGAAGACGCCCTTCAAGTACCGTAGGCCCGCTCCCCCACCCCAGGCCGCGACCGCGCCATGTCCACGCCTCCGCTGGCGGCTTCGGGGATGCAGCCCGGGCCCTTCGGGGGCCCGCAGGCTCAGGCCGCCCGCGAGGTCAACACGGCGTCGCTCTGCCGGATCGGTCAGGAGACGGTGCAGGACATCGTGTACCGCACCATGGAGATCTTTCAGCTGCTGAGGAACATGCAGGTGGGAATGGCAGGGTCCCAGGGCGTCGGCGGGCTGTCTGGACCAAGCCTCCAGCATATGGTCACCCATTCCCACTCACGTGTCCCAGGGCGATGTCAGCCCCGAGAATCGGGCCATGTAGACCATGGATTACGTTTGTTACGTATTTTCTTATTTAGTGCCGCTGTAAGTGTGGCGCTATAGGATCAGCACTGGACTGCTAGCCGTAAAGTCAGCGGTTCAAGCCCACCAGTCACTCTCCTATCCAGGGTTGCTGAGTCATAACTGACATGATGTCGGTTAACAATAACCAATGGACCGGTTGCTGTTGTTGGGTGTCTGAGTTTGTTCCGATTGATAGCGACCCTGTATAGCGTTTACTAGGAGGAACAGCTAATGGGATAGAACTGCTGATCTTGTGGTTCACAGCTCAGTGCTGATCCTCCAGCGCCACACCAGAAGTCCACTGAACAGTTTGTTGTTAAGTATCATCGAGTTGATTCCAACTCATAGAGACCACGTATAGGGCTTCTAAGGAGCGGCTGGTGGATTTGAATCGCTGACCTCACGAGGGCTCATCATACTTATCCTGCAGCGCCACAAAGTCAGCAGTTCAAAACCACCAGCCTCTCCTTGGCAACCCTGTCCGACCCATAGCGACCCTGTATAGGGTTTCCAAGGAGCGACTGGTGAGCCTGACACACTGACCTCCTTGTTTAAACCGACTTTGTAGTCCAGCACATTAAGCAGCATCCACACCAGGACTCCCCTTAACGCTATACGTGAAACTATGCTACAGTGGGACCTCTGAAAGCTGGACTTGGCAGGACTGCCGTGTTTTAACGGGTCTCAAATATTTTCCACCTTTACATAGTGCACCTTTAACACTTCCATTGCTCCCTACTAGTTGAAAATGTTGGAAATATTTTAGTTTTTCTTTGACACGTTGCCACCTCACATAGGTTCCAAATTCCTTAGGTTTTATTGTATGTAGTCGTTTTGTCTGATTCTTTTCTCTCAGCATGTATTAAATACAGTTTTGTTGTTGTTAAATGCCATCGAGTTGGTTCCGACTCATAGTGACCCTGTATAGGGTCTCCAAGGAGCGGCCGTAGCTCCATCACCACCACCACATGGTAAATGTTAGCTTGACATTTTAAGAAACTGTTTTCCAAATGGCTGCATCATTTTACATTCCCATGACCTGTAGTTGAGTCTTCTAATTTCTATACATTCTCACCAATCCTTGTTATTGTTTGTGCTTTTGCTTGACCAGTACTTTCTCCCAGTCTGTGGCTTGTCTTTTCATTGTCTTCACATTTAGTTTTGTTGGAGCAAGCTTAGTAATTTTTTTATGGGCTTTGCTTTTGGTGAGATCTTTACCTCATGCAAAGCCACACAGATTTTCTATTACATTTTTTTTCCCCCTAGTACTATAAGCTAATACCCACTGCCATCGAGTTGGTTCTGACTCATGCTGTTAGGTACCATGGAGTTGGTACCCACTCATAGCGACCCTATGCACATCAGAATGAAATACTGACCAGTCGTGGGCCAACCTCACCATCCTTGCTACTCCTGAGCCCATTGCTGCTGCCACTGTGCCAGTCTATCTTGTTGGTGATCTTCCTCTTTTTCTCCGACTGTCCAACTTAACCAAAGATGGTATTTTTCTACAGTGACTGGTCCCTCTTGATAATATGTCTGAAGTACGAGAGGTGAAGTTTGGCCAGCAATGCTGCGTAGGGCTTCCAAGGAGCACTCTGACTGTACCACTTTCAATACAAACCATTTGTTATTTTAGCAGTCCATAGTACTTTTAATATTCTCCTCCAACACCTTAACTGAAATGCATCAGTTCTTCTACGGTCTTCCATATTATTCACTGCCCAGCTGTCACATGTATATGAGATTATTGAAAATACCATGGCTTGGGTCAGGTACACCTTGGTCCTCAAACTGACATCTTTGTTCTTCAACACTTTAAGGAGGCCTTGTGATGCAGATTTGCCTAATGCAATAGGCTGTTTGATTTCTTGACTGCTGCTTCTATGAGTGTTGATGGTTGATAAAAGCAAAATGAAATCTTTGACAACTTCAGTCTTTTCTCCATTGATACAGATGTTGTTTATTGGCCCACTGGTGAGGATTTTTGTTTTCTTTACATTCAGGTGCAATCCATACCAAAGGCTGTGGTCTTTGATCTTCATCAGTAAAAATTTTAAGTCCTCTTAGCTTTCAGCAAGCAAGTTGTATCATCTGTTAGTGAGTCTTCCTCCAAACCTCATGCCATGTTTTTCTTCATATAACCCAGATTCTCGGATTATTTGCTCAGTATACAAATTGAATAAGTATGGTGAAAGAATACAACACTGTCACACACCTTTCCTGATTTTAAACCATTCGATGTGTCCTTGTTCTATTCAAACAACTGCCTCTTGGTCTACGTACAGGTTTCTCATGAGCACAAGTAAGTATTCCAGAATACTTATGCTTCTCAATGTTGTCCATAGCTTGTCATGATCCATACAATCGAAAGCCTTTGCATAGTCAATAAAGCACAGGTAAACATCTTATTCTTTGCTATCAGCCAAGATCTGTCTAATGCCAGCAATGAAATGATCTCTCTTGTTCCACATCCTCATATGAATACAGCTTGGACCTCTGAAAGTTCTCTGTTAATGTATGGTTGCAGCCATTTTTGGATTAATCATAGTAAAACTTTATTTGCATGGGATATCAGTGATATTGTCCGATGATTTCCACATCCCTTTGGGTCACTTCATTTTGGAATGGGCACAAATATGGATCTCTTCCAGTCAGTTGACTATGTAGTTGTCTTACAAATTTCTTGGCATAGTTGAGTAAGTGCCTCCAGTGCTGCATCAGTTTGTTGAAAATTTTCCATTTGTAGTCCATCAATTCCCAGTGCCTTGTTCTTTGCCATTGTTTTCAGTGCACCTTGGATTTCTTCCTTCAGGATCAGTGGCTCTTGATCATAAGCTACCTCTTAAAATGATTGAACACCGACCATTTCTTTTGGTACAATTACTCTGTGTATTCCTTCCATCTTCATTTGATGGTTTCTGTATCATTCAATAATCGCTTATGAGATGGACCAATCCTTCAATAATGCAAGTCGAGGCTTGAATTTTTTCTTCAGTTCCCTCAGCTTGAGGAATGCCGAGCATGTTCTTCCTTTTGGTTTTCTAACTCCAGATCTTTGCACATTTCATTATAATATTGACTTTGTCTTCTCTAGTTGACCTTTAAAATTTTCTGTTCAGCTCTTGTACCTCTTCTTCCATTTTCTTTAGCGTCTCTATGCCGGAAAGCAAGTTTCAGTGTCTCTTCTGACGTCCATTTTGATCTTTTCCTTTCTTGTATTTGTAATGACCTTTTGCTGTCTTCCTGTATGATATTCTTGATGTCATACCCCAACTCTTCTGGACTTCAGTGTTTAGTCTGTAGGGCATCAAATCTGTTCTTCAGATGATCTCTAAGGTAGGATATATTCAAGGTCATAGTTTGACTCTCATGGACTTGTTTTCATTTTCTTCAGTTTCAGCCTGAGTTTGCATGTGAGCAATTGATGGTCTGTTCCACAGTCTACCCCAGGCCTTATTTTCGCTGCTGATATGGAGCTTTTCCTACATCTTTTTCCACAGATGTAGACAGTTTGATTTCTGTGTATTGCATATGGTGAGATCCATGTGTATAGTCATCTTTTATGTTGTTTAAAAAGGTATTTGCAATGAACAAGTCATCATTGGTCTTGCAAAATTGTAACATGGGATCTCCAGCGTCTTGTCTATCACCAAGGCCATATTTTTCAACCACTGATCCTTTTCTTTGTTTCCAAACTTTGCATTCCAATCACCAGTAATGATCATTACATCTTGATTGCATGTTTGATCAATTTCAGATTGAAGAAGATGGTAGAATTCTTCAATTTCATAATCAGTGGCTTTAGTGTTGTTGTTGTTGTTAAGTGCCGTGGAATCGATTCCAACCCATTGCGACCCCACTTAGGGTTTCTGAGGAGCAGCTGGTGAACTTGAACTGCAGACTCAAACGGCTTTGCAATCTGGTGCTTTAACCCACAGTGCCACACCAGTAGTTGGTGAATAAATTTGAATACCAGTGGTATTAACTGGTCTTTCTTGTAGGTGTATGGATATAAGCCTATCATAGCATTGTACTTCATGACTGATCTTGAATGCAACACCATTCCTTTTCAATTTGTCATTCCCAGCATAGTATACCATGTGAGTATCAGATTCAAAATAACCAATACCAGTTCATTTCAGCTCACTAATGCCGAGGATATCGATGTGTGTGCATTCCATTTCATTGTTGACAATTTCTAATTTTCCTAGATTCATACTTCATACATTCCATGTTCCGATTATTAATGGATGTTTACAGCTGTTTCCATACATTTTGAGTTGTTCCCCATCAGCAAATGAAGGTTCCATGTGCTCTGTGTGTGTCGACACTGTCAGCCCTACTTTGAGGAGGCAGCTCTTCCCCAGTCGTATTGTGAGCACCTTCCAACCTGCGGGGCTCCTCTTCAGGCCTGATATCTGACCATGTTCCAGTGCTCTTCGTCATGGTGCAATGTTCAATAATCTGGTACTGACAGTGTTCCACTGCTAGTCATAAGGTTTCAGTGACTAAATGTTCAGAAGTAGTCCATCTCTCCTTCCTAGTCTGTCTTTGTCTGGGAGCTCATCTGAAACCTGTCCCCCGTGTGTGCCCTGCTGGTATTTAAAATACCTGTGGCACAGCTTCCAGAATCACTGCACCACAGAAGCCACCGCAGTACGACAACAACCACCGCAGTACAACACCATATATCATTTCCAAGGCTGTCAGTCTGTATAGAAGCAGAGAATCTCATCCTTCTCTCATGGAATAATTGGTGGGTTTGAACTGCTGATCTTGCTTTTAGCAGTATAATGCTTTCACTGCCTTGCTACCAGGCTCTTTTAGAAGACTTTACACATAGTTCTATGATCCCATAGTAAGTTAATTTTTTATATGATGAGAGGTATGGATCCATGTTCATTTGTTTGCTTTTTGATATGCAATTTTTCCAGAATTATTTTGATAACCTACCTTTAATGCTTGTTTATCTTACTACTATGTTAGGTGGATGTCATTCTTGTTTAAAGGAGTAAAAATCGGTAGCGGTGAGATGTAAAATGACTTGACCAAAGCTAGTCAGTGTTCCGTAAATTGAAACTAGACTTTCAGCCACTTAAAACTCTGCATTTTTATGGGCCCCCTCCTACTGTGGCACTGTAGGATAAATGCTCAACCTTGTGAACTGCAAGGTGGACCGTTCAAACTCACCAGCCTCTCCTAGGAAACCCTATACAGGGTTGCTATGGGTCGGAACCAATTCAATGGCACCGATGAACGACAACAACAGCAATGTTGGTATAGGATCAGCACTGCACTGCAAACCACAAGGTCGGCTGTTCAGGCCCACCAGCTGCTCCTCGGAAACCCTATACAGAGTCACTGTGAGATGGGACCAACTGGAAGACACTTAAAAACAACAACATGGTGGCTATTAGAGTGTTGGTGTCACACTATAGAATAAGCAGAGGATGCAGTGATAACAGGAAGTTCTTCATAAACTTATGGGTTGCATATAACCTAGTTACTTAGTAAAACACCTTTTAAGATATTCGAATTTTATAAATCATGATCTGTATCATTAATCCAGAAGGCTGAAACTCCATAAACACTTGTTAAGTGCTGTCGAGTGGGTTTCAACGCATACTGAGGCTTTAAATCTTCACTGGAGTAGAAAACCCCATCATTCTACTGCAGAGCAGCTGACAGGCTTGAACTGTGGATCTTATGATTCACAGTCCAGTATTTATTGTGTGGAGCCACTGTGATCCCCCACAAACACTGTTTTTGCTAAGTGCTAAAGAGTCGGTTATGACTCATAGTGACCCTGTAAAGGGCTTCCAAGAAGCATCTGGTGGGTTTGAACTGCCAACATTGTGGTTCGCAGTCCAGTGCAGATCCTATAGTACCACACCATTAGTCCCCATAAACACTTGTTGTCAAGTGCCGTTGAGTTGATTCTGACCCATAGCGACCCTATATATGGTTTCCAAGGAGCAGCTGGTGAGCTTGAACCACCGACCTTGCAGTTCAAATGACTTTGTAGCCCGGTGCATTACCCACAACACCACACCAGGACTAGGGACCTTCAAAAGTTCATGGAAAGAGAGAAGTTAATGGAATATTTCCCATGCTCTGGTAGCGTAGTGGCTACGAATCGGGCTGCGAACCACAAGGTCAGCAGTTTGAAACTACCAGCTGTTCCGCGGGAGAAAGATGAGGCTTTCTGCTTCTGTAAAGATTTACAGCCTCGGAAACCTCATAGGGTCACTATGAGTTGGAACCGACTCCACGGTACTTAACGACAACAACATAAAACTTGTAAGAGTATTTCTAAGCCTTTTAGATAAGTATTCTTTTATTCCTTAGGCATCTTATAGCCACTTGAGAATCTCATGAAAACTATGGATTCTTTTCTGAGAAAAAATTCTTAAAATTGCCCTTGGTTATATGGGGAATAGCTTGCTTTTATGCAATGCTTAGAGATTGTTTTGCTAGCTTTACATATACTTACAGAAAATCTTGATTTTCATTACTTTATGTTTTTATTGTTCTGTTTTGCCTGGTAAGCTGCCAAATGGTGTCACGTACCACAGTGGAACATACCAAGACCGCTTAACAAAGCTTCAGGATCATCTTCGCCAACTTTCTATTCTCTTCCGAAAGCTGAGATTGGTCTATGACAAATGTAATGAAAACTGCCGCGGCATGGACCCCATCCCAGTAGAGGCAAGTTTTCTTGATAGAGGGACAATGCTCGTAAGATGTAATAGCCTTTTCCTTCTCTGTTTTAGCTATATTTCCAACTCTTGAATTATATCAGTATACTCTTAGGCCAAAGCAGATGAAATTGTGATATGTACAGTATACAGAATTAGTAAGTTGTTTGTTCATTTGTTTTTTAATTTAAAAAAATTCTTTTAGATTCTGACCTTCAGGCTTAAAGTGATTATTATATTTGAAAGGGGGCAGGGTAGAAAGAAGGGGGTATCTGGCAGTTCTTATCAATGTTGCCATTATCTCTTTTTAATTAATAGTGCATTATTTTTAGTACTTTTAAAGAGTATTGTGAAATCCTTTTTTTTTTTAAATGTCCCCATCATTATTTCACATTTGGTGTTTAATCCAGTGGAATCACTATATTTAAAACACATTCTCCAAATTTAATCTTGAATATAGATTATTTTAATTAATTAGGTATGGTATTTTTATAGGTGCACAGTTCTTCCTTGTTTACAAATTATGTTTTTAACAGCAGTGGCATCTGGAAAGGTTAAGATGTTCTGTGTACTATAAAAATTTCATGTGATCAGTGCTTCCTTTTTGAGCAGTTGACACATAATGGATGAATAGAGAAAACGTAATCTGCAAGAGTCTGAGAAGAGGTGATCAAAGGTGTTGAAGAAAGAGCAGATCAATTGCCATTCTCAAATGCTGCAGGGTAGTCAAGGAAAATGAGGACTGGAAACCAGTAGATATTCTCAAGGAAGACTACTGGGATGTTTTGTGGTTCCTCTGAAATGATTATAGCCAGAAGCCAGATTGCAGTGGGTTGAAGAATAAACAAGAAGTAAGGAACTGGAGCCAGCAAGTGAGTATCAGTCTTGCATGAAGCTGAGATGATAAAAAGCAAGAGAGGGACGTAGTAGATGGAAGAAGGTATGAAGTCCAGGGTTCTTATTCAGATGGGGAGACCAGGACAGGTTTTTAAATAAAAAAGGAAGAAAGGAGGAGGAGGAATGTGCTATAAAAGCTTTCTTTCAAGTACCAGGAACTGCAAATAAACATCATTATACATAATTAATTATAAATTTCATTTTTTAATGTAATTGTTTTTCTTAAGTTAGCATTCTAGCAACAGGAAGTTAAGACATCTAGAAATTTGCACAGATACTGAGGCTCTAGCTGACAAGTTACTGATATTTGTATAATGCACATCCATGACGTTTCTCTCCAGTATCAATGACGTGAAGCCTGTCTTGGGGGTCTACGCCGATACACATAAATTTTTTAGGGCAAGAAAATCACATTATATTTCACTTTGTCATCATTTTCAGTGCATCACCAAGCATTTGGCAATTAAATATTTGCCGAGTGAATGAGTGTATGTAAGGTGTTACTTAATTGTGATAACCAATGTTATGAAAGCTGTTAGGAAGAGAAACCTTAAAAGCTAAAGTGTATAGAATGTGTGGACATTTTAAACTTGTAAAGTTATGATTCAGTCCATCACCTGAACTGAAATTTATTTTTACTCTATTAAAAGAAAAGTATGACAACTCACCTTTATTCAACACATTATCTGCTGTTATGTGCTATCAAATCAGTTCCAAATCATAGTGACCCTGTCACTGGGTGTTCAAGACTGTAAGTAGCACAGGGGTGGGGACTGTCCGGCCCTAGGGCCTTATAAACCACGAAATCATTTGGTCCAGCCCTGCAAGTGCAACTGCAGAAGGGACTCGAAATTCAGTAAGTCTCGGTGTTTTTCATAGCACCCCAAATTTATATTAAATAATGTTAGAAGTATCCAAATGGCCCTTGGCAGAAAAAAGGTTCCCCGTCCCTGTTTTAGGGGAAGAGAAAGCCTTATCTTTCTCCTAAGGAGGCTCTCTGGTAGCATAGTGGTTAAGGAATCAGGCTGCGAGAACTGCAAGGTCAGCAGTTCGAAACGACCAGCTGCTCCACGGGAGAAAGATGAGGCTTTCTACTCCCCTGAAGATTTACAGCCTCGGAAACCCTGTACAGGGTCGCTATGGGTTGGAACTGACTCGACGGCACTTAACAACAACAACAACAAGGAGTACCTGAGGGATTTGAACTGCTGACTTTCTGATTAGCAGTTCAGTGGCTACCCTACAGCACCACCAGCACTCCCGATACATTGTCTAAAGCTTTAATTGTAAAACGTTATTAAATTTTTTATTTTTAACTTTTGTTTGTCCCTCTCAGCAACTTATTCCATATGTGGAAGAGGATGGTTCAAAGAATGATGATTGGGCTGGCCCGCCTCGTTTTGCAAGTGAAGAGAGACGAGAGATTGCTGAAGTAAATAAAGTGAGTTATGGGTCTATATGTTTTATATTTAAAATTTACCAGTAACAGTTCCAAGGGAATCTAATGCAACTCAGAAACATAATTTGAATTATAGAAATACTTAAAGTTGTTTCTGTGATAAACAAACCATTTAGAGTATAACCCAGAAATAAAAGGTGGGCAGAAATGCTGTCTGAATTGTCTGAAAAAACATCACAAAATGTATGCGCTAAAGCTCTTAGAAAAGTTTCCTAACCCTTAGTCACAGCCCACTCACGTTGTCATGCCTAGGCCGAATCCTAGCTTTCTAGTTTATAGCATATTTGGAGTAGCAAATGATTAAAACATACAAATAAGAAATATGAATGTATAAGAAATTGATCAAAATGTACAAATGAGAAACATGCATGTCTAAGAAATTGAGTTATGAAAGTTATCACTTGCCTCATTGTCTCCTTCCCTCAAAATTCCTGACTTGATTGTATTTACTGCTGAATGCTTTCAAACGTTCAGAAGATAATGCTCAGATAATTCTCATGAAACAAACATAAGTCCCACTAAGACCTGATAAAAATAGCCCAATAAATAAAGCTTACCAGACTGTCTCACACCCTCCCCAGATTCTTAGTCAAATTCTTCAGTATATTAACACTGAACCCACTGCAACTAAAGAACATTTGCCTGAAATTTCTGAAGATAATTGAATTTATATATATAGTATGTAATTGGAGGAAAGGGTTTTTTTTCTTCAGATGTCTAAAAGACATTTGATAAACGGGTTTCTTCCTTTTGTGCTCTTCTAATACAGAGCTGCGCTTCCTCGTGGAGGGAGGTAGTCTCTGGTTCTGTGTTCTGATCCCTCCGCCCTCTTGTTTTCATGATTTATCCCCTTACATCCCCACTGTTTTCTTTATTATTTAAACATATGCCAATCTTTACTTAGTGAGGGAAGTGGGGACAAGAAAACCTGGTCTCCATCCTCTTCCCAGGTACTGCTTCCCTCTTTTGCTTCAGATTTCTGATAAAGGAGTTTGGTAAAAAGATTACTACCATTCTATTACAATGCTTTAAACCATTAGATGGTTAGAAATACTATTCACAGTAGTAAATAATAAACAGGTAAGAATTAATGTCATTGATGTCTAAAATACATTTTTAAATTTCTGAATAATTCAAAGGATATATAAAGTTCCTAAAAACATGCAATAAATATTACATGTTAACCTCAGGGTCAGCAGTTCGAAACTACCAGCTGTTCCGTGGGAGAAAAATGAGGCTTTCTGCTCCCGTAAAGATTTACAACCTCGGAAACCCTGTGCAGGGTCACTATGAGTCGGAACTGACACCATGGTACATAACAACAACCTCAGGGATATTGTTAGATGGTTTCTGCATTCTGTTGGGTCACCTCTCTTTGGAATGGGCACACATAGGATTTCTTCCAATCATTTGGCCAGGTAGCTGACTTCCAAGGTTCCTGCATAAATGAGTGAGCACCTCCAGTGCTGCAGCAGTTTCCTGAAAGATTTCAGTTTGTATTCTGTCAATTCTTGTAGCTTTTTTTTATTTTTGCCAATGACTTCAATACACTTGGATTGCCTCCTTCAGTACCATCAATTTCTGATTATTAGCTACTTCTCAAAACTGTTGAGCATCAACCATTTCTTTTTGTTTATTGCTTCCATCTTCTTTTGATGGTTTCTGCATCACTCAATATTTTGACTTTGGCTTCTCGAGTTGCCCTTTGATATTTTCTGTTCAACCCTTTTACTTCCTCTTTTAGCTCAGTTACTATAGCTTGTCTATGCTCAAGAGAAAGTTTCAGAGTCTCTTCTGATAGTCATTTGTCTTTTCTTTCTTTCCTGCTTTTAATGATCTTTTGTTTTTTTCCTGTATGGTGTTCTTGGTGCCATCCCATAATTCTGGTCTTCATTCATTAGTGTTCTTGAGCCAGTCTTTAAATTCAAGCAGGATATAGTCATTGGAGTCCTGGTGTGGTGCTGTAGAATAAGCACTGGGCCACAAGGTAAGTTTGAGCAGAAAGGTTGGCAGTTGAAATCCAGTCACTCCTCGGAAACTGTACAAGGTCCCTGTGAGGGGAAACTGACTTGATGGCACTTAACAACAATATTCAGGGAACTTCCAGAAATCTAAGCTGGGTTCAGAAAACAATGTGGAACGAGGGATATCATTGCTGACATCAGATGGATACTGGCTGAACGCAGAGAATACCAGAATGATGTTTACTTGTCCTTTATTGACTGTACAAAAGCTGGGTGGACCATGACAAGATGTAGATGACATTGTGAAGAATGGGAATATTCCAGAACACTTAACTGTGCTCATGAGGAACCTGTTTGTTTGGACTGAACAGGGGGATAGTGAATGGTTTAAAATCAGGAAAGGTATCTACCAGGTTTGAATCCTTTCAGTCTATATGTTGAGCTAATCATTCATGAAGTTGGATTATATGAAGAAGGGCTTGGCATCAGGATTGAAGGACATCTCATTAACAACCTGTGATATGCAAATGATACCACCTTGTTTTGCTGAAAGAAACGTAAAATGCTTACTGAAGATCAAAGACTAAAGCCTTCCATGTGGCTTGCACTTCAAAGTAAAGAAAACAAAAATTCTCTCAATTGGACCCCTTAATCACATGATAAACAGAAAAACGATTGAAGTTGTCAAAGACTTCATTGTGCTTGGATCCACAATCAGCACTCATGGAAGCAGCAGTCAGGAAATCAAATGACATATTGCACTAGTCAAATCTGCTGGACAAGACCTCTTTAAAGTGTTCAAGATTAAAGATGTCAGTTTGAGGACTAGGGTGCACCTAACCAAGCCATGGTATTTTCAATGGCCTCATATACATGTGGAGTCCTGGTGTGGTGCTGTAGGATAAGCACTGAACTGCTAACTGGAAGATCAGCCACTCCTTGGAAACCCTATACAGGATTGCTATGAGTCGGAACCATGTGAAAATTGGACAGTGAATAAGGAAGACAGTAGCAGAATCAATGCATTTGACTTATGATGTAAGTGAAGAATATTGAAAGTACCATGAACTGCCAAAGAACTAGAATTGTCTTTTGGAAGAAGTTCAGCCACAATGCTCCTTAGAAGTGGGACTGGAGACTGGATTTTTTGTTGTTCTTTGGTTTTTGTTAATTGTTAGTAATACAAACTACATGCAGTGTTGCAAGGCATAATTTGCTGGTGTTATAATTCTTAGATGTTCACTAGCAGATGTTTTGTGTAATGTTTCAAGCCCCAAAAGACAAAAGATTGGATTAATAGATACTGTTAATATAAGGCAATAATAATGAAA